TAACTCTTACAAGCTCTCCCTGGCATATGTATGTAAGAATCTGAGACAACACTATCAGGAAGTGACACAGAAATGAGTCATCATTATCTGTTGAAGGCAGCAGCTTTGTGCAGTTCTCTGTCCAGGTGAGAAGTGAGAGAGGTGGCCAGGTGACTGATTCATATTTCCAGGAAGGCCCTATAAGAGTGAAGATGCCAGGATGTGGCTGGGTGTTTTTAAGGAAGTCACACTTTCCCTTAGTGGACTTAATCTATAGTCATTTTCTGATTATTGTCCAAAGTTACCTTATCTGACGAGTACGCTACATTCTGAGGAGTCATTTGTAATTTAATGCTCTAAAAAACCCAAGATCTGACAAAAGAAAAAAAGTATCTTAATACTTCCATGTTCATATTGCAAATTCAAGAAAACTAGCAAATATATTAATATGAACTTAATGGGAAAAATTGTTTCTTTTATTTGATTCACTAAATTTCTGGGTCTCAATTTGTTTTTGGTTGGACTATAGAAAGAAATCATTCAGAGCTGCTTGCAATGACTAACATTAGAATTCCAATAGAACATAAGGAAAAACTTCCGAGCAATTAAGAGTTGTGGAAAAGGAGAATGGATTGCCTCAGGAAGTAGTAGTCCTGGTGGACATAGGTACTGTTTTTTTGTTTTTGTTTTTGTTTCTCCAGCACCTAAGTCAGTGCTTGGCACACAGGAGACAATAAAAGAAGGATAGCCAGGCACATTCTAAGATATAGCCTAAAGTTTAGAGGAGTGGATTTGAAACTCTGATCAATGTAATGACCAGTCATGGCTTCATAGGCCTGATGGTGAGCCACATCTATCACTTGTTTGTCCTTCACTCTCAAAGAGGACCAATTATATCAGGAGGGTGATGTCTTGACTTGCAGGTGAATTGGATTTAAGTGAGGCAGAACTGTACCTACCCCTTGGGAAAGGATAGAGGACCATAGGATGATATAGTTAGGACCAGAATGCACCTCAGACCTCATCTAGTACAACCTCTCCATTTTACAGTTGAGGAAAATGAGGCTCAGAGAGATTAAATGTCTTGCCCAAGGTCACACAAGTAGTGGGATTTGAATTCAGGTCTTCTCACTCCTCAGTCAGTGGTCCACCAGAGGTGTGGGATGAGTCATATATTGTTAGCTGTGGCCAATGTGTTTATTTGTTTCACTTACTGTACTTTCTTGTTACGAGGGAGGCCTCTATGAGGTCCAGAATTGGGGCAGTTACTGAGAAAAAAGGAGTATCAATAAAATATTTTTTAAAAAGAATAGATTTCAAAAGATTCAGAGAAAGGATCCCATGACCTAAAATTCTATTGGAGAAGCTGGCTCATGGAGGACGGGATGCTCTAGAAAACACAATTTTGATTATGAGGAGAAGGGAAGACAGAATAAGCATTTATATGGGATACACTACATGCCAGGCATTGTGCTAGGATGCATTTTTTGCAAATATCTTCTCATTTGAATCTCATAACAACCTCAGAAGATGCTATTGTTATTCTCATTCTACAGCTGAGGAAACTGAGGCAAACAGGGTTAAGTGAGTTGCACAGGTCACACAGCTAGTAAGTATCTAAAGACCAGATTTGAACTCAAGTCTTCATGACTCCAGGTCCAGCATTCTACTCATTGCACCACCAGCTGATGATGAACAAAAAGTATTCTAATGAGGAAGAAAAGAAAAAGGTATATAAGAATACTGATGTGGCTAGAGAACTCAGCAAGTGTCTCAAATTGTTAAAAGACTAATTTGAAGATTGAAGGGCAATAACAAGAGAAATATTGAGGATGGATCCATGAATAGTATGGCCCTCTAAAAATAATATAAAAAATGCTCAAGTGGAGAATGAGCAGAAGTATGTGCTGAATACTAAGGATAACCAAAAGTGCTTAAAAAAAAAGAAAGCCATGCTGGGGCAATAAGAAGACCAAAGAATATATAAGACTACTCTTTGGAGGGGGTGAGATGACAATAATGTACAATGAAGGGAAAGCAGAACTACTCAACCCTTATTTTTCTTCTTAAGGAATGCTCTTCAGTATAGGATGTATAAAAATGTTTAACGGGGAATTAAAAGTGAAGAGAAGTGAAAATATACTAAGAGAAAACACTTAGTTGCTCTTAAGTCAAGTCACTAGGCCTAGACAAACTTACATTCCAAAGTACCAAAGGAACTTAAGGATATGATTGTTAGTTTACCATCTGCTACTGATAGGGGGAATAGTTCATGGGAAACCTATCAGTTTCAATAACAGGAGTCCACAGTTCAATATGGCAGTCACAAATTTAATGTAGTTTTAGAATAAATTAAAATAATTGTAGCATACAAAAAGAGAGGGCAATATTCCAGATGTTCTTGGTCAGAGAACATCTGGAATACTGCCTTCAGTTCTAGCTGCTGAAGTTTAGGAAGGACATTTATAAGCTGGGGAATATGTAGAGAAATATGACCAGGATGGTGGGTACTGAACATCATGCCATATGAGGATTTGTTTCTTTTTCCCACTTAATAATATTTTATTTTTTTTCCAATTACATGTAAAGATATTTTCAATGTTCACTTTTTGTAAGATTTTGAGTTCCGAATTTTTCTTCCTCTTTCCGTTTCCTCCCCTGTCCCCAAGACAGCAAGCAATCTGATATATGTTATACATGTATAATCATGTTAAACATATTTCAAATGAGAATTTGTGAAGGAACTAGCAATTTTTAGCCTAGAGAAAGCTATTTCCCCCATTTGGGGATGAGGTGGGGACATGATACTTGTCTTCTATCTGCAGGTCTTTTATGCAGATGTGGGATTAGGTTTACTTTACTTGGCCTCATGGTAGAATTGGCACCAATAGATGGAAGTTTGACAGATGCATATGTACCTTTAAAAGAAGGAAAAACTTCCTAACAATTAAGAGTGGAAAAGCACTGCATAAATGTCAACTATTATTAGTATCATTATTATTGAAGTGGAAAGTACAAAGTACCTTGGTTCAAATCCAACCTTAACACTTGCTATCGATGCAGTCTGTGGTCTTCCTATGGAGAGGAATATGGCTCTTTTAAAAAGTATGTTTGGTTATCCTTATCATTCAGTATATATTTCTATTCACTGTGGACTTAAGCATCCTTATTATTCCCCTCCTAGGCCAGAGAAAGTTCATTTTTATAGTTGGAAGGCTCTAGAACAGGAACACAGAAACCAGAGTGAGGGGGTGGAAGGGAGAAGAAAAAGAAAGGGGGAAAAGGCTAGAGGAAGGGAAACCACCAACTCCTTAGCATCTTTAGGAAAAGGAAGAAGGGAAAAGGAAGAATGGGAAGGGACAGAAGACAGGGGAGGTACTTGAATGGCATGTTTTTATTTATGTGAGAGAGCGGAAATAGTCACCCAAAACCAGAAAACTGGAATGCCTGTAGCACATTCCTCTCACCCCCAGTCCTCTAAATGGGATGTGTAAAAATGTCTCAATTCAACTCCATTTAAGAAGTTTCATTAACAGTATCAGTTTAATATGATTTACATAGTGTATGTGTGTGTGTGTGTGTGTGTGTGTGTGTGTGTGTATCTAGCCATTCCCTTTCAAAGATATGCCCTCAAACCCATCTTTCCAGAAACCCTTTTAAATCAAGACAGATTTGCAGGTTCAAGATCTATCTAATACAAGGCTGCACAAAACGTCAATAAAATTCAACAAGGAACTATTAAGAACCTACTCTGTGCAAAGTACTGTGTAAGGTGTTGAGTGGAGATACAAATACAAAAATAAATAGTTCTTATGTTAAAATAGCCTGCATCCTATTGGGTGAAATGGCTTTTGTAACGGCAGAGAAAAGTAAGAGATGATATGTTAAGTTTAACAGCTGAAACAGCTACAAGCCTGTTTGGCTGAAATGCAGAAGGGGAGAAATGTGAAAGAAGGCTGGAAAGGTGGGCTGTAAGTACACTGATAAGCAACCAGCTAAATACCAGGTGATCTGAAGAGAGAGACAGAGGAAGAGAGAGAGAGAGAGAGACACAGAGAGACAGAGAGGGGGAGAGAGAGAGAGAGAGAGAGAACCCTCACAACTGAGAGAACTCCCTGCCCAAGCTAGAGTCTGGAGGAAAATGAAGATTACTGAGGGGTAAGGGGCAGCTAGGTGGCAATTCCTGCCTTGGAGTCAGGAAGACCTGAGTTCAAATTTGACCTCAGACACTTGACATTTACTAGCTGTGTGAACCTGGGCAAGTCACTTAACCCTGATTGCCTCGCCAAAAAAAGCAAAAACAAAAAAAGACTACCTAGGAGTAGAGACAAAACATTTACATATCGTGCACCTACTTAGCTGTGTAAAAGTTGCATCCCCTTAGAATAAAGGAAGTTCTCTGAAGGCAAGGAATGCTTCATTTTTGCCTTTATATCCCTGGAGCCTAGCATGGTGCCTTCCTAACACACAAGAAATGCTTAACAACTGAGAGGCAGTGACATTTATTGGAGAGAGTTCTATACTTGAAGTCAGGAAGACTTGGGTTTGAATTGTGCCTCTGATATTTCCTAGCTGTGTAATCATGGGTAAATCACTTAACCTTATCATCAGTTTCCTCACTGGTAAAATGAAGATAATAATACCCATGGTACCTACTTCATAGGGTTGCTGTGAGGATCAAATGAGAAGTAAAGCATTTTGAAAACTTTAGAATACTTTAGAGACTTCCATGAAATTGATTGGAGAATGGCTTATGTAAAAGCAAAGAGGCACAAGAGATGGGATGTTAAGTTTAAGGAACAGTAGAAGCCCATTTGGCTGGAATGTAAAAGGAGTAATGTGAAGTAAAGGTGGAAATATAGATTATGGGGCTAGCCATGCCAACATAATTAATTATAAAAGGATAAAAGTTTGGGCAACAAAATTAGAGAACTTACATTTTTATTTATATGCCAAACCAGGAATTTTAATTTTTCCAAATTTTGTAATAATATTTTATGGAAATTCTTTTTTTTCCCCAGGCTTTGTTTTGGTTATTGGCCTAGTGACTTTTTACCGAATCGGTCCCTACACCAACCTGTCCTGGTCTTGCTACCTGAACATTGGAGCTTGTCTTTTGGCTACCCTAGCAGCTGCCATCCTCATCTGGAATATTCTTCACAGGAGAGATGACTGTATGGCACCTCGTGTTATTGTCATCAGTCGCACCTTAACTGCTCGATTTCGTCGTGGGCTAGAAAATGATTATGTGGAATCACCATGCTGAAAGTCAGCAGAGGGCGTGACTATGAGGTCTATCAGGATATTGTCTATGTATACATGTGATAATTTAATACGGTAGAAATTGATGGACATTTAGAAGGTCATTTTCACTACTTGTGAAGTGGCTTTTGATTATTAATTTTATGGGTTATATCTATATACATATGTATGATACACATAAATAATATGTATATTATATATAAATAGATTATATGGCCCCTACCCCTACTTTTGTACAGTGATAAAATTTTACTATGTCACATAATTTCACAAGAATGCATTTTTCAAGTGTAGCAGCAAGCCAAAATTTGTGATATAAGTAAAGAAATATGCAAAATGAAGCCACTTTATTCTCCATCTTTGTTTTTAGATTAATTTATTCTGACAAAGGTCATACCTCAGTCCTGGTAAGGCCTCAACTTTGGGGATGCTGAACACCCAGAAGGACTTAGAAAATGTCAGAAAAATACATTAAGTGTAGCTACATTTACAATCAAATGGTTAAGGTTTTCTTATAGAACCTTGTCATTGGCTTATATTATGCCCCAATTATTTTTCTAAGTTAAAATAAAAGATGAACATGCTTAAATGTCTTCTTAAAGTTTAATTTTCTACATAAAATTATATGGGTAGAAAGAAATGAGTTTGTATTATTTTGTCATTTCTGTGGGCCCATTATAGAAGGGTCAAAATAATGTTCTAGAAAGCTGGATGGAAACATGTGTGGGTGATATCTACATTTTCTATACAAATGAGTTTTCAAAGCATGGTTTCTGCAAAAAATATGAAAGTTGAGTTCCTCTTTGATATGTTTTGATGTCTGAAGATTATGGCGGAAAATTAACCTATTTTGCTTTAAAACAAAATTGAAATATCAAAAAAATCTCAACTAGCTATATTTTATAACTATTTATATTTGTATGCATACATTTAAAATCATATGAGTTGGCAATCACTTTTTCCAAAATGCTTTAGTCTATTCACCAGCTTATTTTTGAGTGGGTACAAGAAACCTTAATACTACATGTCAACATAATGATCAAGAAAACCAACTTGCTAAATATATGAAGGTTGTGACACCTAGTATTATTTCTGTTATGACTGAATAAGACTTCCAAAATTTGAGCTTCCATTATTCCAAATTGGCACAGGCTCTGAAATGCCCACCATTACTACATGAACCTTCCCTTTTAACTGGAATAAAACGTGTCTTGCAGAAATTTCTTTCAAGGCTACTTAACATAGGATCTTTTTTTTGGTTCTGCTGTTAAAAAAGAAATGAACAAGCAGGATCTCATATTTTAGACTATACTAGAATTTTTTATTTAAAAAGAAATACAATTTATCTACCATTTTAACCCACTGATACCCTAGAAAAATATATATCAATAAAAAATATTTACCAATCATCTGTTATGTTCCTACCACACAAATGAGTACACCAGAGAATATAATTATTTTGACATCTTCCCATCAGTACCTGGATAAACACTGATAGGTCGGGTCATACTTCTGCTGGACTTACAGTCCAGAAAACTTGTTTTTTTCTTTTTTAATTAAGGATTACACACTAAAATTAGTTGCAATGAAAAAATGGAATATTTAAGACATTATACCATTTTTTGTTAATATTATTGTATATGAACTATTGTAATGAGCATTAAAGTTAAAAATTAGCCATGTGGTTAGGAGCAATCTAATATCACTGTGTTTACATTAAATGAATAAAGTATTGAAAGGTGGGACAACACTATGCCATTAAGTCACTTATTGCTTTCCCAGATCATTGAAAAGCTATCTTGTCAGTGTTGCCAATGCAGGAAAAACCAGTTCCCCTATTCCTGCAAAGCAGGTTGGGGACAAAAGGAATTAGGGGAAAAAAGGACTATGATTCATGTAATATTTCAAAAGGTGCTTCATATTCTACAGAACTATCCTTGCAGAGGATATTAAGTCTCATTTCCAAATGACTTTATTTCATTCATATTTGTCTACTTTAGTTGTTATTAATGATGACCTTTCATCTCTCAGACATTAAGATTTCCCAACTGCTCCAGCTAACAGACTCCAAATTCTTCTGGGTACTGACGGAAAGTTGTTCATAGAGAGCCTCTGCTTAAATTTATGAATCTCTTTGGAGTGCAATGCAAGTTTTATCATTTTAGTTAGCTTTTCACTTTTGTTTTGCTATTTATTATTTATCAATATTGGTATTTATTTGTATATTAGACCAGAGATCTAATTATTATTGGTGTAAGACATTTAGCTAGAAAATATTCAAAACCTTTTTAAATAAATCAAAATAATTAAATAAGTAAGCTGTGATGATCTGAACACTGAAAAGTCAAAAGAGCTTTGTTCATCTGTTTCCTACCACCAGATGTGTTTAAATAGAAACCCCTTTTCTGTGCAACAGAATGTACTAGGCATGTCCTGGCATTCTACTAATCTCAATGGAATTTCACAGTGACAAAACCATAAAATACACTGCGAAGAAATGGTAACAAAAGAGTTAATCATTTTCAACACGATTAAAAAGAAAAGGAAAGTATTCAATGGCAGGACCTCAAAAGGTATCTATACTATCTTTCAAAACTTTAGTGAAAAGAAGCCTTACCTTTTGATGAGCTTGATGGATTTGAAAGCTTCATCCATATCTCCAATGGTGACAAAGAGGCTAAAATTTAGCATGGCTTCCCGGCTCGTCTTGTCACATTCTTCTAGCCCAATAAAATCTCGTAGGGGTTTCTTGCCTACCATTTGGGGGATTTGGTGAGTTGCAGAATCTACTTGATCTTCTTTATCTGTTTCACCTGGCTAAATGGTAAAGAGCATCTTTTTAATGACTAATTTACCTACATTGTCAATACCTATTCTCTAATTTCAACTTTTGCAAGTATGCTTCTTATAGCCCATATGAGAAAACTGACCCACTTGCAAATGGACCAAGTAGTCCTGCCCAAATGCAGAAGACATTTAGGGTATTTAAAAACCATTAGGGCTGCTGGCTGTTACTTCTCACATATGATATAGACAAATAAAATCCTATCAAATGGGAACTAGCTCAACTGTTCTATCTCTGCTTAACTCCTTAAAGCTATATTCTCAAAGCTTCAAAGTTTCATAAGTATCTTTCTCTTTGCAATAGATTGTGTTTATTTGTTTCTCCAATAATGACAATGATAATAACAACAGCTAGCCTTTACACACTGCTTTAAGGTATGCAAAGCTTTTTATGTGTTATCTCCTCTGATCCTGACTCTGAGATATTTGCCCTTCTTATTCCTATTTACAGAAAAGTCTCTTCTGGCTTCAAGTCTAGTCCTTTTCTCACTCCCCGCCATATTGATGAATATGAACTTTACCATAAAAAAAAAATGAGTTTATACAGTCAAAGACTGGAGGAGATATAGAGATATTCTTTTGTTTTTCTAGGCTTTTTGCTTCCTCAGCATTGGTGAAAGCCTTAATTATATAAGATAACACTCAGTAAATCTCCTAGGAAAATAAATACCAGCTAGCTTTTTATGTAAAAGCCAGGGAGTGGCTACTTATCTATTCTAAGTTCTATCCAAAGAAATAACTTTGCAATTAACATTAAACATCAACAAAATCAGTTAAATATACTTTAAAACTATTTACATTTGTATTCACACATTCCTTTGGGTCCCCTTGAAGTTTCTTTTTGTCGAAGTTTTCTTTTTTTTTTTTTTTTTTTTATTAATGGGAGGGAGGCTTTAGGTATAGGGTGGCCAATAAAAAAAAAGGAGAGAAAGAAAAAAGAAAAGTGGGTCATTAAAACATTTCTTCTTAAATTGTATAGAAGAGAACAGAAGGATGTCCAGAAGGAATAACAGACAAGAAGGACAGCTTTAAAAGTTGTTATATATGTAAAAAGCAAGCAGTACATAATAGAGATTCACACTTATAATTCTCTTTCTATTCTACTATGAATGTGGAAGTATTTATTTTAGTTGATGTTTGTTAATGCTAGAAGAAAAAAAAATTACAAAGGCAAGTTAAAAAAACAAAAGAAGAAAGAGATGATCAAAGGGGCCAGCTCCTAGAAATGGGAGAGCAGTGGATCAACAGCACAAATACAGGGATTTGCCTTGACAAGGAGGGCCACCTTTTCATTAGAAATTGAAGCAAAGGGGAGAGTGGGGATCATATTGAGGACATCTGAGGTGCAGAGGAGAGAGAATATGTCTGTTTTCTTTATCCAAGTATTCTCTGGGTAGAGGGTAGGGAAAATGTAAAGTTGCGTTGGTCAAGATTTTGAAGGGAAGCATATGAGGCCAACTCAGGAAGGATAAACTGAGAACATGGGAGGTGGAGGTAGAGTAACCAGAAGTTGTGGCACAGACAAGGAATAAGTTTAGAAGGAGAAAGAGACAGGGAGAGATGGAAGAACAAGAGGTTATGGTCAGATAAAGGAATATTTACCCAGTGGTAGTGTAATGTGGAGTTGATCTGAGTCTCTACCCCAATCAATTTAATTTGGATCTTTGCAAGAAGCTATACATGTGCTTCTGGCTAAGACACAAGCACCATAGGCCCTTGTTGGGAGAACACAGCAGCAAACTCCTCTGATTGATCCCCAAGGAGTAGGCTTCCCCTGTGAAGTGATTGGCTGAGGCCCAGGAAAAAGGACCTTTAATGAAAAAATGCCTGTCCTGTGTTTATAAGTGGGAAGTTCCACTAATGAACCAGGGAGACCTTTTTTGACACACTTCCTCTCCCTTGCACTTGGAAATTGAGACGCGTGTAGGGGAGATGTCTCTCCTAGTAGAAAGAGTAACTGACAGTAGAAGCATATGGAAATGGGAGCTGTGCTTTTGAGGAAGCCTGGAATGTCTAGCAGTCTTCTTCTGCCTTTCTGTTTCCTTTCCCAAGCAAAGGTCAGAGACAAAGGATCCTGAGGAGGTTTTCAAACCTGGGATTACTTCTTCGTAGGTAATTCTGAACTTGAGCGTTCCTGAGTTTGAGAGTTGGCCACTAGCCTCCCAGAGGGAGAAGATGAGCCTTTAACAGGATGCTTTTTTTGGAGAAGAGAAACACTGTCTCATCAGACTGTCCACAGCTGATGGACAAAAGAAGTGCCACAGCCGGACAGATCTGGACCTCACTAGCACCCCATGGCACTTAAGACAGTGCAGGTCTGCAAGCAAATGGGGAAGATCTTTTTAGCAATTCCACAAAAGATGAGAAATGAGTGCAACAGGCATTTGATTGTTCTTTGTTTCCTGAGTTTGTGCATGTCTATGAGTCCTTTACATCCTACACTGTTTCTATGGTGAAAGAAATAAAAAGCTGTCCCATACCCAATATCCACACAGTACACAAGTATCTTTGTAGGAGGAGATCCTACATATGAGCCATATCTAAGCTTTGTTTTAGGGATTTCCCTGGAGTGAGGGAGAGAGCTAGGAAGCAAACCTGACCCCCTTGGAGTTTAGATTCTTAGAAGTGAATCCAATTGATGTAAGCCTACAGTTTCTTGCCCAGGTAGGGGAGTGAACTTTAGGTATATTTCTTGATAATACTCTTCAGGTGTATTTCCAACAATGAGATTATTAGGTCCAAAAGTATCATTTCTCTAACTTACATAGTACACTGAAAGATTGTTCTTCAAAAAGATTCTACCAATTTATAATCTGATAAGGTCTATTTTTTTACCTGTTCTTATATGAGTAAGATTCAAAACCATGATTTAGGGGAAGAAAACCAACAGGTAGATTTTGCAATTCTTCTGCCATTATTAACTTAAAAGAGACTTTTTGTGAATAGGGTTACTCATTCAATAAATGTTGAATGCAAAGCATCAACTGTACTAGGTACTCTACATTGAACCTAAGATGGGTAAGAACTGGTCAAGTTCTTACTTCAAGAAGTTAACAGTCTTAGACAAACATGGTCTCCCAAAAGAGATATAAGACAACACCTCCTCCTATTCCTTTGCAGAGGTGGGAGGTCCACAGTTGTGGGACACTGAATGCATTTTCAGATTTTTTCAATATATAGATTAGTTTTGCTGATTTTTTTTCTTTTCTTCCTTTTTTTCTTTAAAACTTTCTTTGTTACATGAGATAGTTCTCTGGGATGGGGAAGTGAAGTCATGCATGAGGTAAGTTAGGTGATGTAAAATAAAAATATATCAATAAACATTTATTTTAAAAGAAGTACATAGTCTAGATAAGGAAGATAAGACGTGTACAAATAACTAAAATACAAGATAATATGTGATAAAAACCATAGAAGAAATACTCCCCTCAAATACTAAGATGATCTACAGGAGGTAGATATAGGATAACATTTAATTGGGGAAATCAGGGTAGTCTTCATAGAAGAGGTGACATGAGCAACCGTGCAGGGGTAGGAAAGTTTCAAGTCTGTTCAGATAATGATGACTAGCACATTCTTTTAAGAGCATATGGCAGTAGTGGGAGGCAATACTGGAATGGTGGATTGAAGCCCAATCACAGAACTTGAATGGCAACATAAGACATTTGAACTTTATTCATTAGTTCATGGGGGAGGAACTATTGAAGCCATAATCAGACTGATGCTTTAGAAATATAAATCTGGTAGTATGTTATAGCTCTCCATTACCACCAAGGGACTGATGCTGTTGAACTGGATCCAACCAGGACTAGAGCTTCCATCAACTCTGTCAGAAGGTGTATGTGCTTCATCATAAGTCCTTTGGAAGCATGGTGGGTTACTGCATTGACCAGAATTCTTAAGTCT